TGGAAAACCCAGGTAGAAAGCAAGGGGGGCTGACAAGATCCGCATGCCTCAACAGGCTGTGTGTGAGTGAGTGACCATAAGCCAAACCTGGGAGCAGCGTGTGTAACACATGCCTAAGAAAGGACTAGAACCCAGAACCTTTAACCACTACAGCCAAACTGGCTCTCTCTTCCAGATGTTAATCCAACTTTGACTTATTTCTTACATCCCAATTTAGTTTGGGTTGTCTTCAGGAGCCTTTCCTTACAAATTTCCATAAGTAGAACCTCTTTACTTTTCCTGATATAATCATTTGGACTATATTCTTCTTCTTCCACAGTTTTTTATATTCCTCTGCTACCTCTAGTTCACATGTGAATGTCATTTCTTGGGTGAGGTGCATGATGTATGGTCTTTAGTTTCCTGGTTCTCCAATCAAGATTGTCCAGTTCGACTTGGGTCCAGTCAATTGTCCCTGTATCTATATCTAATTAGAGGGACTGCCCAGGAGTTTACTGCTTTATCTGTATTTTCATCATTGTAGTGAATGAAGAGGATGGCCTTGAAGGACAGAGGGAAGAACCGCTATCAAGGCAACTATCAGAGAAACAAGGCTTGATCCCAGGCCAAGAAAGTAGTTTACAGAAATACTTCAGGCAGCACCCCCCAACAATTCTCATGAAGGGAGCGAGAGGTCCAACCCACGGCCCCTACTCTGTGGGGTGCCTCAGGGTTTGGTGCTTTTGCCGCTCCTATTTAATATCTACATGAAACCATTGGATGAGATCATCCGGCGCCTTGGGTTGAGGTATCATCAGTGTGCTGATGATACCCAATTATACATCTCCATCCTGGGTGACCTAAGTGATGCTGTCACTACCCTCTCACAGTGCCTGGAGGCTGTGGGGGCCTGGATGGGGGCCAACAGGCTTCAACTGAACCCTGGTAAGATGGAGTGGCTGTGGGTACAGGGAGCCTCAAGATCCAGGAGTTTATCATCTTTGGTTCTTGATGGGGGTCGCACTACCCCAGACAGACCTGGTGCGTAATCTGGGGGTCCTCCTGGACTCATGACTCTTGTTTGAAGAGCAGGTGACAGTTGTGGCTAGGAGTGCCTTTGCGCAACTTCATGTTGTGCAGCAGTTACGCCCCTTCCTCAATCAGGAGGTCCTCCGCATGGTCACTCATGCACTGGT